GGGTTTAATCTTCTGTCAAATACTCAAAGAAGTCACAGACTGACATTGTTGAAACATGACATGGCTCTTGACTATATTTTAGCCAAACAAGGAGGTTTGTGTGTGGCTATGAACTTAACGGGAGACGGTTGTTATACTTTGATCCCAGATAGTTCTGATAATATCACTAGTGTTATAGATGCATTAAAGAGTATAAGGGATGCGTTTGGTCAATCTGAGGGAGCTGGATGGTCAGCAAATACTTGGCTACAAAATCAGTTAGGACCAGTGGGAGCAGTGGTGGTTCAGATTTTGGTAGCAGCTTTTGTAGCGCTGTGTTTGATGTTTTGCTTTTGTACGGTGCTATTGACTTTTGCGAAAGCTATGATATTGAGATGGGTTGGAGTGGTAATGCCTGGGGAGAACACTCAGATGCCTTTGTTAACTACGGCTGATTCAGATGGAGAGGATGAAGGGGAACCAGATGAAGTAATGATGGAAAGATATCCATTTTAATGTTACTTTGTATTTTCATACATTGAGGTTTTAATTTTCATGTGTTATTTTGCAACAAGATACTGGTTGGTGTTTTCTTTTCTTCCAGAGTATATGGGGATGTACAGATGGGGATTCAAATACTCAAACAAGGACAATATGAAAGGACTCTGGACAAGGACAGTGTGGAAACGTCTGGATTGCATCGACACTGCTGAGGAGCTGCAGTGGAATATTTTCCTATGTCTACTTTGATATAGATATGAATACATATGTGAATGAATAATATTTAATTAACAATCATATTCTTTTTGTGTGTTAACTGTGTAAAGACTTGTACTTTCACTTAGGGAGTTAATATTTGGGGACCTCAGGTTTTTTTCTGTTTCTTGATGCTTAGGGATATAGGGTCTAGGCAGGGAAAGGTCCGTTGGAGGGTCCGATGGGTTGACCAGCCTGAATTCGGACATTGTTTTGATTTGTTTTATTTCCTGAGGTTTTCACATGTATTGGCTAAACCGTATTTCTGCATTGACTGATAAAGATGTCTTTTAGTAATTGGACTGGAGTACCATGCGTGGCCGCCTAAGGCAGAGGGGCCGTGAGAAAATTTTCCTGTCTAGATTGTCTTGAAGGGAATTTGGAATGAAGGCTGCCGGACGGGTTTTTCGTTCTCACACTCCATAAAGTTGATATGTTGTTAAAAATAATATTGCAAGAAGTATGTGTTGGAGAAATTGATCTCTTTTTGTTTTCGAGACTCAATTAAGTCTCGTAGGGGGGAATATGTGGTGTATAACATATGTGCATTTGACCATTACAGTTTAACATAATACTCTGCAGCTGGAGAGAGGCATAGTGGACCCTTATGGGGAAGTAATGATTGATGGGTGTGCAAAGAGTGAACCCTCCTATGGAATTTGACCTCTGACCCAGTGTTAGGGGGAGTAGAGATTAGTGTGTATGAAGGGACTGTACCCTTCTGTGGTGTCTAACAGATGGTTACACTTATTCTACAGCACTGTGCCCTTATATGGTATTTAGCAGAGACCTAAACATGTCCTATATAAGTTGTGTTCGATGTACAGAGAGACAGAGTGGCCATCGGGCTGGGTCACTCTCCAAGCTGCTGCAGAGCTTGTAATTGATGCTGAATTCTTTGATGTAATAAACTTTTATAATCAAGAACAGTGTCAAGCGGATTTCTTCTCAACACATCATCGCAGCATTATCGTTCGGACACCACACTACTCAAATAGAGGCAAACGTAATCAAGTAACTAAAAGATTATTTAATTAAACAGGTAACGCTTTGAGTCTTTGGAGACAGCAGTCTTTGTTTACATAAAGTTCAAGGCTGTCCTTGGTGTCCTGGATTTTGTCACACTTGGGTGAGAAGGAGTATCCCTTTGATGAGAGGTAATAAAACACAGAGCAAGGTCCGTTGCCATGGTTACATGACATGACTCTCCTCTCAGGGAGAGGGGAATAATATTTGAGTAGTCCAAATTTATTTACTATAAAATGCACAAATCCACACTGTTGTTCACTAAACCTTTTTATGAGTGCTTCTATATTAATGTTTAGTGTCTGCTATGTAGCAAAAGGGATTTACAAACTCTCATTCTATAACCTGTTGCGCTGTGACAAAACAAATCTACCTACATACCATACAGTGAAAACACATGTCATCACAGCCAAGAGATCAAGAAAGTTCAGGCTGATGTTTTTGTAAGATGCCATGTTCAGAGAAAATCTTCCCACACTGGTCGCAGGTGTAAGGCTTTTCACCAGTGTGAGTCTGCTGATGTTTTCTTTAAAGAGGTGGTATTCTGCTTTTTGGCTTTTCACCCTCTCCTTTATTGAGTTAAATACCTTTTTTGTGCATGTAACAGGTTTGCAAAGTGAAAAAGCCCAAAGTCCAGCCCAAAGGGAGTTCCCATCTCCCACAGAAAACTCTGCTCTGAGCTGACTGAAAACAGCCTTTATGCTGCGTTCCAGGCAACTCGGAACTGGGAAATCCCCGACCACCAACTAGAAAAACTCTCCTGGAACGCCACCTGAAGACGATATGTACCCCAACTTCACGAGTAGCAGCTGAATTACGTCTCAAAACAATTTAAATGGTAAACCATACACTAAAAGGCAACAAAACGTATATTTGCATGTGTTTAAATTAAAATAATACATACGATCATATAGTAAAACCTGTTCTGCATGTACATTGATGTAGAAATATGTTATGCACATTAGGTCGCTGGCTACAGTAAAGACTCTCATAAAGTCTTCTTCTCTGCATAAAAGTTATTGTTAAAAATGCCAAAACATTAGGAAGTATAACCTACTACGTTGACTGACTTGAACCCTACACAGAACTGTTATTGCTGTTAAACTGCCATCCTTTTAATTAACACCTAAAGCACTGCTGAGGGTGCAACTTGTCACGGTCTGCCATGGTTTTTATTCACTTTGGCGTCATGTACCACCATGCACCTGAATGCTTTGATGTTGGAAGTCAGAAGTTTCTACTGGCTAGTAGTCCTTAACTAGGAACTGCGCATGTACATCTCCCAACAAAGATCATTTAGAGATGAGATGTATCACTCCATAGCTAAAACGAAGCCTTCAACACAGGGTGAAAAGAGGAGCTGCAGCAATGTGCAGTATAATGTAAAAATATGATGTTTTTTGAAAATTAAACCATGTAAAACTGTTCTGGTACAACCCCTAAATAGGATTTTGAACCTGAAAATGAGCGTAATACCACCTCTTTAAATTTCCAGATTGTATGAACATCTTCCCACACTGGTTGTAGGTATAAGGTGTTTCTCCTGGTCACAGAGGTGTGGTTTCTCCACAGTGTCAGCACACTGATATGGACACATTTGTCCTCCAATAAATTTTTTGTCACCCTCATCATAAGGTTCGGCTGGATTTTTGGAAAAAATATTTAGACAGTGAAAGAAACAGATTCATGAGTATGAGAGGATATAAAATAATGGAGCTCTATAATAATACAGGAGGAGGTGCCATGATAAATGAACATCAAACTATGGGATGTTTACATCAGAGAGTCTCAAGTTTCTGTGTTCAGTAACATTGAGGAGAAAACTTCTAGTGCCATGTCCACTAAATCAAGTTCTGCCAGCTGAAAACACCAGCTGCTCTTCTGAAAACGCCTAGCTGGGAGCGCTAGCGGGTGTTTGAGGCGCAGCATTTTTTCTGCTCTAGTTGCTATGGTACATAAAATCTGTGGAAGTGATGTTGCAAATAGTTCTACCTAACTTTACTGGATGTAAAAATGTCTACACAGAGTAGAGTACTTGCTCTGGCCCTTGCTCTGTATGAAGAGAAGGCTGAAGCAGGTAGAGAGAGAGGTCGGACGTACGTGTGTTCATGAGATTTTGTGGGTGAAAAAACATCTGGACGAGTACCACCGTTTACTCCAGCAGCTGAGGTTCGACGAAGCCCGGTTCCAGGATAGCAACCGTTGCATGAACATTTTTAAAGTCTCGGCGACCAGAAAGAAAACTCAGCGCTCAGCGAGAAAAAGACGCTCAGCGCCTCGTCACACTGCTGGCGTTTTTACCATGTTGTAAAAACATGGCGCATCCATCCATCCATCGTCAACCGCTTATCCTGCCTACAAGGTCGCGGGGGGCTGCAGCCAATCCCAGCTTACATCGGGCGAAAGGCGGGGTACACCCTGGACAGGTCGCCAGACCATCGCAGGGCAACAAGGCGCTCCCATTGCAATGAATTGAAAAAACAAAGCGTTTTTTCAATTCATGTGGACACGGTGGACACAAGCCCTTAAATGGGAACACAGAAAAGGAAAAACACTTCCAGAAACTTTGCACTTTAAATTGCCTGTAACCATAGTAACTAATGCTTCAAGCTATGTTAGCAATTCACTGACTGGATGAAGGTTTCCGGATCATATTTTAAAATGTGTACAAACACACTTTATAGTATTCAGGACAACTTAAACACAGCGTGTTCCTTATGGTATAAGAGCCATAATGCACTTTCAAAGGAAATGTCCTCTTCATCTCTACTTTGGCCACATTTTAAATGCATCAGGGCATCAATACTGTATTATAGGTAACCTCTACCATTTAATATCCTCTGACACTCTTGTACCTTTCTCTTTCTGAGTATTTTTGATTCATAGAAACTGAACGCCAAAAATCCAGCCGAACCTGATGAGGGTGACAAGAGTTTTATTGGAAGAAAAATGGGTCCACATCAGCGTGCCGACAGTGTAGAGAAACCACACCTCTGTGACCGGAGTAGCAAGAGCTTCTCTTTCCCAGAAAATTTAAAACATCAGCGCACCCACACTGGTGGTTCATCAGGGCGACTAAAAGCTTTGCTCTGAACTGATCCGTTTAGGCTATTTTAGCATTTACCATCTTTACCATAGACTGCTTCATGCTTAGATGAGTTTGTTGTGGAAAAATGTTTTCGAATGTGGGGCTGTTTTTATTTTGGATTGGATTCAGTTACCATGGAAACCATCAGTTCACCTGTCAGACCTGCGACTCGGCGCTCCGTGAAGACGCCCATCACCTGCAGGAGTCTGTGAATCTCACTCAGCAGAGAAACGGTAAGAACAAACGAGCTTTGTCCAGCCGGTGTGTGTGATGGTCTGCAGGTCAAAGCTTCAACAAGGAAACTTCAGACAAACTTTGTTTGGCTGCTGGAGCCTGGCTGGAGGAGAGAGAACTCAGGAGCCAAACAATGTTAGTTTACTGAGAGTTCGGTCATTAACATTACACTGTAAAAACTGTAAAACATGTTGGCATTTCAGCTAACTGTGGCCATCAATTGATCTACTGTAAATTTTAACTGGTCCTCTTCTGAAGTGGAAGCACTTCCTCTGCAAAGGTAAATTTGGTAATTGAACATTGAAGATTGTATTTTGACTAATGAAGTAGCCACACTATTGTACATGTGAAAATATGATGCATATCAAGCCAATATATTTTGAACTGAATTTGTCTGACTGGATCATCTTGCTTATGGGCGCTTACATGTGATCAAATACGTTTCTTTTTCCCCATTTCCTTACGGTCTTTGTGATGACAGAGTTGACCCACAGATAGAGAAATATCTGGCAGAAGAGGAGAAAAACACAACCATCAATATGAGCTCAACAGACGAGGTAGGACCACAAAACAGACTTCCGAGAGATGTTGGTGGGACGGGATACATGCTGCAGGCATCAGTGACATTATACCACAGCCAAGTGTGATTTCATTTGGCAGGTGTCTGTTAAAATGTATGAGGACACCTTAAACATAGTTCTAGTGGGAAGTATGGAGTTTTCTTTTCTTTTTTTTTTATGACAAGTCACTACTATCCATAGATCATTACTTACAAAAATAAAACCACACATACATGATTTCTTAGAAACACAGTTGAATAAATGAAATCTGGTGGCCACAACTTAAACCTTTAGGATTGTTTACATCAGAGAGAGTCCTGTTGTTCAGCAACGATATTGTTTAAAGTAAACATTTAAATTGAAACACAGAACTGAATTGCCTGTGACCATAGTAACCGTACTGATGCTTGAAGCTATGTTAGAGGTTAAGACTGAAAATTACCTAACAATGGTTTAAACTGAGTACAAAAACACTTTATAACATTCAGGACGACTCCAACATGTTTGTTCCTTTGTGGTTCCTTATGGTATAATAGCTATAGGGGAGAGCGGGGTGATTTGAGCCTGTGGGGAAATTGATCCACCCCTTGGTTCTCTGCAACCATAGACAAAATTAGTCATGTGACCAAACCATTTTGAAGACGCATCCATTTTACGCTGTGATGGAGAGAGGTCCATGGAACAAGTCATAAGCACATTTAAGTTAAAAAAAACACAACAAAAAAACAGTTCAAAGTGATTTTCTTTTTGTTCAAAGAGTCCTGATTCTTGTGTCTGAACAACAGGCAGGTTTTAAAAAAATTTTACGCATGTGTTAGTGTCATAGACTGTAGTGCTTTAGAAAGTAACAATATGAGGCTATACTGTTAGCTTTAAACTGCTGGATGACACAAGTTTGTTAAAATGGCAGGGATGTGGAAATTTCAGCCAAAAGACCTGGGGATAGTTGAGCCAGCTATTTTACATTGCATTCTTGTGCCTCCATGAAATGAGTGACATTATGAGTTGTAGACCAGAAACCATCATGCCATGCTTCTATAAAGGGAAGACAGACAGGCTTTAACTCTTCTTGTGGGTTTGGACCATACATCAGGTGGCACGGGACATGAAGATCAACGGGATGATTTTAAAGCTATAAACTGATGGGACTAGGGAGACATAGCTGTAATGTTTCTGTCACGATTTGTGTGGTGAGGCAGGATGGTGGACCTAAATGCAGACACGAGAAACAGGCAGGAACAGTTAAAAAGGTTTATTAAAACGAACAAAAGGTGAGTACACTTACTGGCAGAGTGGCTGATAAACAGAGTCTAAAAACCAAGGTCATCCAAACAGAAATCCAAATCCACAGAAAGAGGGGGGTGGGGCAGGCAAAACGATACAACACAAGACAGAGCATCTACACACTACAATGACCAGACAAAGACTGAGGGAAACAAGCAAGGATATATACACAGGTTAACAAGCTGGGAGGAGACACACAGGTGAGGGACATGAGGCTGAAGAGACACAGGCAGGCAGAGAGATAACTGGGGGAAAAGACGGAACACTTGACAGGCAGACATGGGGCAAAATAACAACCAACAGAAGAACACAGATTAATAAACATAAATTGACATACAGCAAACAGACTCAACTCAAGCATGATGGTACAGAAACTAATACACAAGACTGGAACAGAACTGAGATCGGGAAAATACCAAAACACCACTAAACACCAGCTGACGGATAATAACCAGATAAACAATAACATAGACTACATAACAGATAGAGAAAAGACTGAAATAACAAAACTGGGAACTACACAAGGCAGGCAGGCACACAGCGTGACAGTTTCACTGTCAAAGTGCATTTAAATGTTGGGAACTGGCATTTGAGTTTGCTTGATGAAATGACATTGATGTCCCTGACCTCCATGTTGCTCATCTTACCCTCTCATTGGGGGTAAGTTGAGCCAAGATTCCACAAACCCCCTTCAGCTCTACGTCATCCATATTTTTCATGTATCAGGGCTCTACCTGTATTATTAGTGAGCTTCACCATTTAATATCCTCTCACGCTCTTGCATCTGTCTTTTTCCGTGTCTGAATATTTTTGCTTCATAGAAACAGGACGCCAAAATTCCAGCCGAGCCTTATGATGAGGGTGACGAGAGTTTTATTGGAGGACAAATGGATCCACATCAGCGTGCCGACACTGTAGAGAATCCACACATCTGTGACCAGTGCGGCAAGAGCTTCTGTTTCCCAGCATATTTAAAGAAACATCAGCGTATCCACACTGGAGAAAAGCCTCATACCTGCGACCAGTGTGGGACGATGTTTAGACACCCTGCAAATTTAAAGATCCATCAGCGTATCCACACTGGAGAAAAGCCCTACTTCTGTGACCAGTGTGGGAAGCTGTTCAGACAGTCTGGACATTTAAAGATCCATCAGCGTATCCACACTGGAGAGAAGCCCTATACCTGCAGCCAGTGTGGGAAGATGTTTAGACGCCTTGCAAATTTAAAGATCCATCAGCGTATCCACACTGGAGAGAAGCCCTATACCTGCAGCCAGTGTGGGATGATGTTTAGATGCTCTGCAAATTTATACACTCATCAGCGTATCCACACTGGAGAAAAGCCCTACTTCTGTGACCAGTGTGGGAAGCTGTTCAGACAGTCTGGACATTTAAAGAATCATCAGCGGACTCACACTGGAGTAAAACCTTACCCCTGCGACCAGTGTGGGAAGAGCTTCTCTGAACGTCACACCCTACAGAAACATCAGCAGACTCACTCTTCAGAGCGTCTACCTGAACTGTCTTGATCTCTTGGCTGTTAAAAGATGACATGTGATTTGTAAAAGCTGTCATGAAAATATTTCAATAACATTGAAACGCATGCAACTTGAGTCTTCCACTGTTATTGGTTGCTTTACTTCTGCTATCAAAGCTACAGCAGTAAATACACAACAGTTACAGTTCTAGTCATGAACATGTTAAGACTGGGGGATTCTAAAGGAACGTGCAGCCAATGCTAAAAGCCTACTTGCTGCAGATAATGAGTTTCAAACATCCATCAGTTAGGACGTAACGTACAGCTACAGCCAACACCATTCATGAAACATATACTAGTGTTTATTAGATTTTTTGGTTGTCATGATAAAAATATGATTTCATGAACTGCAGCACTGATGCAACTGGATTTCATCTGATTCCTGAGTTTGCTGATGTTTGAATATTTTACATTTTCAGAGTTAACAGTAACCGTTAAGCTGCAACAAAATCTCAGGTTGGGGAAGCAGAAATTATGTTCATATACTACTAATTTGCAACAGCAAAGTAACATTATTAGGGAACATTTACCATGCAATAATTGCGCTTTCCACAAAATGTATTTGGTAAAAGAAATTCGTTTCTACAAGACAAGTTTAGGGAAGCGCATACATTTATTCCAGAATAATTTAAAGTCATCAACTTTATTCAAAAACAAACCAGTATATCATAATTGCAAACAGTCAGGAATTCAACAAAAAAGTCTCATGAAAAGCCTTTTGAACATTTAAGTGAATCATAGTGGTATTTGAAAACATAATAAAGCTGCTGAATTGTGTTTTAATTCAGAAATTATGCAAATACATTTAAGTGAACATACGTTTCGAACACTTAACAGGACCACAGAATGTTTACCTTTATACAGTTCATATGTAACATGCAGACTGTACAATACTATGCAAGGGCGTCACTTTGTGTTGAAAAGTGGACATAAGGGCACAGATTAGGAACGTGATGATACATTTTGGTCACAAGACGTGACGATGCACAAGAACAAGACAAGAAGATCTGTAGCACTATTTTGAAGAAATATTTGATGCTGATTTATGAGCGGGGGTCTGGGGGTCGTCCCCCATAAGATTTTGAACTTTAAATATGTAATTTCCTGCATTCTGAAGAAATTTTCTGTCTTTTTTTTATATGAAGGGAAACTACATTTTAATTGCATTGCATATTCTTATTGCGCAATTAAACTTTTCTCAAAAGCATTTTCATTTGTCAGTAAACATTTTTTGCTGCAAACTATTTTTCAGAACGTTTTTAACAAATGCTTTCAAAAAGTGATGGGGACAAAAAGTGATGGGGAGATGTCCCCAGCGTCCCCAGTGTATATGATACCTATGATACTATGAACCAAACACGCATCCATGCAGCTCTTTGTACTTTACCTACACCTGCTGGCCATGTGTGTAACTGCTTTTAATCACTGAATCTGACGGGCATCAGGACCCAGAGGAGACCTGCAGCAGGGAGCATGCGTGGCTGGTAAACATGGCGGACCAAAACAAGACAGACACAGAAGGGAAGTTCTTCAGTGAAATATTAAGGTATATTATTGTCTTTTTTTTAGCTCATATCGTGAAAATTACAGACCGGGGAGAAATAGCGCGCACATGTCTGTTGGTCATCCATTTTCTGTTGTCGGAGCGCGTAACAGTTAGTTGCCCTGCTCACATGGTGGCTTCATGTAACTGTGGTAGTTAACGCTGGTAAAGTTTTGAGGTTGTGCTACATGCATGTAACCTGCAGGGAAAACGCTAGTTAACAAGTTTTTGTAGGTAGCTTGAATCATTCTCGTCATTGGTATCCTCCATTTGGCTCACCTGCCGTTCTCCACGTTGTGTTTTATTAAGAACAGCTGTGGGAACAAGATGGGAAACTGTTGTTAAATTTAAAAACAATACGCATTAATTGGAGTAAAAGGTGTTTGTGGGGGCTGGTAGGGTGCAATTTCAAACGGGTTTCGGTCATAACACATGCAAGACATCATGCAGTTGACTGATTATATCGCACGAATAACGTTATAACCGGTTATAACATGTCTGGGCGAGGTCCCATGGCAGTGAGTCATAACCACATATGACTCAAGACACTGGAAATGAACAATAATGTGAGCCATCATGTGCAGCTGTACTTCATAAGTAATACGTAGCATGCAAAAAAAAAACAATGCAAATGCTGTTTCCTGTATTTATAAACACTTTAGGATGACACTGGTGACTGTGCTTCCTATAAAGAGTGATATGCACTAATCCTGCTTAAATTTCACTTACTCTTAAGAGTATTAATGCTGCAGCATACAGTTTTAGACAATAGTTATTCCAAAAGGCCTTTTACTGTTTCAATAAGACAACGCCCCAGTGCACAAAGCCAGCTCCATAAGGAAATGGTTTTGCCAGTTTGGTGTAGAGCAGGGGTTTTTCAGTGTGAGGTGGGCCTCCGGGGCTCCAAACAGTTTCATGGGAGGCTCAGTGAATGGAAGTGAAACAATATTACATTACTTATTGCTTTAGTTATCAAAAGGAGATCACATAGAATAGCCTACATGGGTGAGAATTATTCAGAGATACAGTAGTTTTGGGAACTGAATGAATGTCTTAAGACAGACCTTTTATAAACCTATTTGGTGTAGTCAGAAGTTATGTCAAACAGCAATATTAAGCTATTTTGGCTTAAATCTTGAGTGTCTATAGGATCAGATAATATAATCATGATCCCATACGCATCCAGGAATTGTGCGAAACTTACCAAGTAAAGGGGGGGCACCGTTTCCCAAGATTTGTCTGAGGGGGGGGCACGTAGTCTCAGACTTTGAAAACCCCTGGTGTAGAAGAACTTGACTGGCTAGCACAGAGCTCTGACCTCAACTCTATCGAACACCTTTGGGGTTGAACTTGAACGGAGATTGTGCGGCATGCCCTCTTGCCAAGATCAGTTTCTGACCTCACAAATACTCTTCTGGATGAATGGGCAAAAATTTCCACAGACAACGTCCAAAATCTCTCAGAAAGCCTTACTAGAAGAGTGGAAGCTGTTATAGCTGCAAAAGGGGGGCCGACTCTATATTAATGACTTATGGATTTAGAATGGGATGTTATGAAAGTAATGTGTACTGTTTGTCCATATAGTGTATCTGGAACTATAAACTGATCTGTGCTTTTGTTTTCTCCAAAAGCAACTGCTGCAGTTGTCCTCCATCACTGGAGAATCAAACAAATGGATATAAAGCCTTTAACCTTCCTACTCAAATATGAAAAGTAACTCATGTTTTATAAACTCACAGTGGTTTCCCTTCTGATCTCTTTCCAGTTTGTGTCTTAAAAAACTGAAAGGATGACCACCTCTGCATCAAAACATTTATTCATCTGCCTTGTTTATATTAATGTCTTCTTGCCTTAATCTAGTGATTAAAGCATTAAATGTTTTCTTTCTGTAAATCCCCAGTCCATCTGAACTGTTCGCTGCTCGGTCCAGGAGTCACAAGATCCCTGTCAGAGGACAGAAGGACTTCTTCCCCAATGACTCAGAGGAGCAAAGACAGCGGCTTGAGCAGAGTCTGAATGAGCACTGGAGCCTCATATCAGAGGAGAGAGTGGAGAAGCTGTGAGTAGGATTAGCATCCAACCATCCCCAGTGATAATTACTGATGTGTGAGCCATGCGTGTAGTGTGCACTTTTATCTTTTTTGCCTCTTCTTGATTTGGATTCACGTCACATTTTGGTTCAGTCGTCAACCCGTTTCCAGCAGCTGTTTTTAGAAAACAAGCTCTATTCTATTAGCTAAAGAGCCAGATATTTTTCTCAGGGGTTGGTGTAGAGTGTGAATATTGGACGAACATTCATCAAGAAGATACAAACACTAACTTCAAACTAAAAAATGTTGATCCACGTATTAATAAAGCGGCTGTTCACTAACATATTCACCATAATCACTGTATGTGGCAATAATATGTCAGGGCTGGGTGTCTTTTGGCTTGTTGTGGAGTTTTTCTGCCTGCTGACGGGAAATATCTTCTAACTTTCCTGTATTTGACGGTAGGCTCAGGTTGTGCTGCACCGACACGAGATCGATACTGTCTGCTTTTCTTTTCCTGTAGAGGAAACCTAGTGAAGGCCACGTGGATTCCAAGTGAGCAGAAAGTGGAGCTTCAGTCTCCAGCTGTGAGTACACACACCCTGTCATAAGCTGAGAACGTCTGCACTTCCTCCTCGTTTCTTGTTATAATATGTTAGTCAAATTATTTTACTGTGTCTTTTTTTGCGTAGGGAAAGTTTTGGCACACGATGGGCTTTTCTGCCAGCGGCAAGCAGTATCTCCTCCCTGAAGAGGCTCTCTACCTGATGGAGTGTGTGAGTGGCAGATAAAACCTGTTTGCCAGGGTGTGGTTTACCCTCTTAGGACACGTCAATCTCTGCATTATTATTCAGTAATATTTATGTAGCACTTTAAGAGCCCTGCTGAAACTCATCCGATCTGTAAAATAGTAATTAATGACATCTAAAGATGGCAATGTGCTGTGTGAACAGGGAAACGTGCAGGTGTTTTACCAGGACCTGCCGCTGTCCATCCAGGACGGGTATGAGAAATTTCTGTCCGCGAGCTCAGTGAGCCTCCAGCAGTATCAGGTACAAGTAAATGTCCTGCAGATATTCTGAAGGAGGACTGCGCTGCTGAACTGGTCTAATGACTCTTTTTCATCACAAAGGTGTTCGGGCATTTGAAGAGGCTTGGCTATGTGGTGCACAGATTCGATCCCAGGTAGAATCTTAATGCCCCATTCAGACGGGCATTAAATTATAAGATAATAGGAAGCGAATGACGGTCAGTCCTCCACTGTGGTGCAGACAGAAAGGAAAGAAGTGTATTCCATCCATCAATCCAGTATATATACTTACATTTTTAGACATGCACTTCATCACGTAGTCTGGAGAAACAAATCCTGTCCAGCTGGATCTTTAGAGACTCAGCATTTTGGATGAAGTTGGTGTGATGAAGTCCGGGATTCACCATCAGCAAAATGTCGGTGTCGTGTTTTGCTTCTTACAGTTCGGAGCCATCGTCCTACGCGAGGCAGCTGAACCTGCCTCAGTCACGTGACAGAGCAGGGAGACAACTAAAGAGGAAGCGCAGCCCCAGCCCCTCCCCCATCCTCCCAGCAACATCCAGGTAAACAGAGTCCAGTACAAAATCACTGCCTATTTTCTTTACAGTGCACGCTATTTACTTTCTGCCTTTTTATGGTTCAATTTAACTTTATTATCCCCAAGGGGGAATTTGGTTTACAGCCAGCAGTAACAAACAGATATCAAACAACAATAAATAAATACATCAACAAATGCAACAGAATTATATTTATATAGTAGCATTTACAAGGCTGATAACAGCAGGGATAGATGACTTTTTTGCCAATTTGTTCTGTGTGTTAGACTATATTTGTGCCCTGATGGTAGCAGCATGAATTCGCCTCACAAGGGCTGGCTCGGCCAAGATGGTTCTTTCTTTCTGTAAAGCTATTGCCCGACCTTGTACTGGTCATGGAGGTCATTTAAGGGTGTACCAGCAAATTTGCTGCACATCTTATCTTATCTTGCAGGCAATTTTTCTGTTTAACACAAAGTGACCCGTGCCAGTGAAACTTTTCTTTACGCATCCATATTCTGTGCATGAATGAGCCACAACTAGAACAAGACTATTCTTGTTATTAAAAAAGAATAGTTGCAGAGGCCTAAGATACCCTGACATGGGTCAATTTTCAAAAAACATGGATTGTACAACTCCCGTAATACAACTTGATGCCCTGTACAAGTAGCTACATGGCCAGAATGACAATAAAGTCTTCTTGAATCTTTTGATAAATTCTCCCTCGCTGGTCAGTGTCCACACCTTTCAGATTCCACACAAAATGTCTCGGGCTTGTGCAGATTATAATCCACCAACATGCTCTGACAAATTTTTAATTTTATCCATTCTGATCTATTGTGAAGTGTCAAATAAACGACTGGCTGATTTTCCGTCACTAGTCAGTGCAGTGAAACTTTATGTAAATCAGACGCTTACACAGTGTTTGTTGTTGCTGTAGTCGTACTGTAGTACAAGAAGAATCCACAGCTGACAGAATGGAGGAGGATGAATCTGAGCCACAACTGAACACGTCTCCGGGGACTTCAGGGACCCAGACTAGCTCTGTTCAGCAAGGTTCAGCAGACAAAAGCGGGGGGGGCAGGAACTGGTGGATGACTGATGTTCCCGGGGACCGATCAGATCACCAGGCCGCCCCTGGTTCCTCACGCTGGGACTTCAGCTCCATCGCTTTTCCTGACCTGGGCTCCAAGGAGCGCCTCTCCAGCTCCCTGGTCCCTCCAAACCCCTCTCTGCTCCCTGGGTCTTTGGCTGTGGGAGTGTGTGACGTCGCCCCCTGGAGGCAGAGAATAAACCTACGGAAGGTGAAGATGTCCTCAAAGGAGCAGAAGAGGGAAGAGGACAAGCGAAGGCGCCGGTGGGATGTCGACAGAGAGGTTTGTAGCCTGTGTAACAAAACATAAGAATGAAACTGAAAAATGTTCTATGCAATATTTTCAAGTGATGTAAAAGGCACACATTATGGGGACTCACATTCCTTCAAGGTTCGGCAGTGCAAAAACTGGGCAGAGTATCGGGAGCTCATGGCGAGGCGGCAGCGGAAGCGTAAAGGCCGACCAGCACACCTGTGGAACAGGGAAGTCACTCCTTTACATGACCCAAGACAACCAATCCCCACTGGTGAGATGACACGGGCCGAGTCTGTAAAGTGTTCTGGATTTTAATCCACGTAAATGAGTCGGTATACGATTCAGTGACGTTTGGTTTTTATTCCAGGGAAGCTTTTGGAGAAAATCAGCGTGATTAAATCTACACATTTGCTCGAGGGAGCGTCCAGGTATCACTTTCCTGTTGTTTCCTGTTATTACACTGAAAATGATTTGACTTATCTGATACCAGGCCAGGAGAGCCTAAGCGGGGTGTTAAAATAGGCCTGCATAAAAAAAATAAACTCCAACATGATCCGCTCAGTGTCAGTCGCCATTGTTTGAAGAAAAAGAAACACAACGCAGTGGAACATAGAAATCCTACCACCAACTAGCGTTTTGGTGGTGTAATTAGAGAGTGAAGCAGACACCATCGCACAAGTATAAATGTTCAAGACTACACGTAGCCGCTGTACACTTGACGCAGAAGTATAAATTGGCATAGAGAAGGTAATAAACGGTCTTAAATTTTATTTACAGAGGAGTTGAATCTTTTTTCTTATCTGCTATAGACAGTAACATTAGTTCTAACTTTTTTTGTATGTGGTTGCGGGCTGTCAGGAGACGTCATACACCTGTAAACCAGAAGGGACTGGAGTGCATTGTGTGTCCAGGAGGTATTTTTGTGGAGTTTCAGTCAGCCCCCATCCAATCTGTAGCAGACTACTGCTAGCGACAGCAGCTAAGGAGCTCAGTGACTCATTATGGGCATGTGAAAATTATAACAGTAGTAACTGTGTTACTAGGATTTATTGTTGTATACAGCTTGAAATACTGACATAAATGTCAATAAATACATGTACTTAATAAGTACTTGTAAGCCTTAGTGTCCCTACTTGTTTTCCGTCATTCTTCGACCGACATAACAATAAAAATAAAGGTATTAAATTGCACTGTGTGTTATTAAAAAAGTCTTGGATGTGACACAGCAGAAACCCTTATTAAGTAAGCCATTGTATCACAATAATCTGGTGCAATAAGGGTGCAAGAGGCAACTAATTCAACCGTACCTCCTGCATGTAAACATGCAGGTTGGCATTAAAATGTCACCTCATGCAGCTACTTTTTGTCACCTGTGAAGGAAAATAAATCAGAATGTGGACTGAATGTGTTAGTGGAGCTCCTCTCACTGCTGTCACAAATTTATGATCTAATTTACAAACCCATGAAGTGTGGTGATGTAGAGTCCATCGCGCAGGGGATAAACGTGTGCTTTGTCCTCTCAGTTTACAAGGGTCCGATGAGTGGAGGATTTGTTTCAATGTTTACCAACCTGACACGGTGGCTGACTTCAAGAAGAGCAACCCGGGGAAACCTTACTCCCGCATGTGTGTGTGCAGGTAAGCAAACACACGAACTACATGGGGGCATGTGTCCTCAAGATTGGCTTACAAGAAACAGCAGACATGTGACGCAAATCTAATGACTCTCACAGAGGTTGAAGATGAATGGCCGTTTTGTCTGATTACTAGATCTTGATCTGTTGATTACTTTTGATTAATCATGTGGTCTGTAAAATGTCATCACAACTTCCCAGAACACAATGGGACGTCTTCAGATCGCTTGTTTTGTCTGAGCAACCCTTCAAAATTAAAAATTTAGGTAGCAAACCCTCACATTTGAGAAGCCAATTACTTCTTTGCATTGTTATCATTTAATTTTCTGTTTAATTGATTAACTGACGACATCATCTGATTCCCTCCCTGTCGTGTCTCAGCTTCGACGGCCCTGTGCCTGACCTGCGAGCTCTCAAGCTGCTGGCCTTCCAGAGTGGAGACATCCCAGTGGTCTTTGCTGTGGTGGACCACGGAGACATCTCCTTCTACACCTTCAAAGACTTCCAGCTGCCCACTGATGTGCACCCCTAACCTCGCTGCTCTTTAACATCACTTTAGATCAAGTACCAACACTTATCCAGGACTTTATAAAACTGAAATGAAGTTAATCTGCTTCTGGTGGGAAATGAAAATATGGTACATCCAAACCTTGATGTTACAGATGGTAAGTTAGGAAGGGGCTTCCATCGCTGTATGCCACTGTGTCCTTTTTGATACTACCTCTGAGCCGTGCCAAAGTTTTTAAATTCTAGAGGATTTAATGCACCAGTGACAAAAAGTGGTTTCATCAGGGTCTGGGCTTTGTTTTCACGTTTGACATAGTGCTGTTAGAGAGAAACTGTATTTTTCCTTATTCAATTTTGGCTGACCAGACTTTTTATTGTTTATTTATTTTCAAAAACAACAAGATCGATTGATTACTTTATTGCTAGTGGGAAATAACTCGTTGCTACAACAACAATGCCACAAAAAGTATGTTTTTATTTAAAGATAAACTCAGTTGTAGCACTCAGTGCTACCACCACATTTCCCTCCAGCCCCTTATAAACGCACTTATGAGTTGAGTTTCAGAACATCAACGGTGAGTTGGGAGGAAAATGTTGGAAGTTGAGTGCACTACAATTCGCATTCTAAGTTAGAAGTTAAGAATAATTTGTGAAACTACTATTCACAAGATTAAGAAATTTGAAGTGAAAATAAAACATTTCCAACGAGACTTACTATGTTTATTGTACAGTTGGTTACATCATCTCACCCCATGGTCTATTAGTAGGTGTTCTGGAGCTCTCTATCTGTCCACAGCAGATGAAGTTTGCCCGATGGTCATGGAATTGTATATTTTAAAACGTCTCTTACCACTACTTTGTGATTATGTTGGTTTCGGGCTAAAGTCACACTATGGAAAATGTTTTCTCTTTGACTGTTGCATGCAAACACAGAGTACTGGGTATTTAACATATTGACATGGACAGCTGAGATATTGATGTAACTGTTAACTTCTTTTTATGTGCAGGTTTTGTTTTAATTTTCTAATTAAAAAACCTGGAATCATTTCTAGTCACGTGCTGTTTTTGTTTCTAGGCCACAGGTGTAAGCCTTGAGAGCAGTGTGCACACTAAAACCTTTCCATTTCCAGCTGGTGTTGCATTGAGAGCTCCTCATGTTGAGTATTTGCTTCAGCTGCATTTTAACAATATAAATATACTGATGATTTGTGGTCTGTCCTTCAACAACAGATCATACGAGCGTTCTTACACTTGACAGTGTAACCAATTAGATCTATTAATGCTTCTTCCGAACTTAACTGTTGTATTATTCCACTGTTAATGTAACTCAGCGTTTTAAAGGGTTTCCTCAAATGGATATGAAGGAAAAAGCTGAGCTGTATTCGTTTCTGAAGGTTTATATCCTGTGTTTTCTTTCACATGATGTTTTTGTCTCCTTTTCCTACTTAAACCAGTTACCAGAAAAACAACAAATTATGTTTAAGCATCCATCACAAGACCTGTGACAAACTGGACTACATCCACCCTCGTTCAGATTTCCATGTTATATGGTATTTTACAAGTGGTGTCTTCATAACTGTGTGAATTTAGCAGTACATTTTTTTTGTTCAATACAGTGGTGGAAAGTATGTTCACTTGAGAACTGTACTTTTTATATTTTACTTGCATTTCAGAGGGTTAGACTGTTGGATATGTGACACAAGATAAATGTAAGGGAGGCAAAATGTATATAATGGAAGATCGCATGCATATATTGAGTAATGTGAAAATTATACGAGGGCTTTTCTTTAAAGGTTGTGTGACCTTGCACCTTATTGAGAGGATCCGTCAGTTTCATCTGCAGAGAACCATAAACTGATTTGTTATGAATTTAAATTCAAGTGAATGATTTTTAAATTTATTAGATGAACCACTTCAGGCCCCCTCCAGTCACTGAACCTCACTTTGGGAACCTCTGAGCCTGAGTCCCGCACCTAGCTCTGTCCTGGACACCTATCAGGCAGGCAGCCCAGTTTTCCCCCACTCTTTCACATGCAGACTGCAACAAAATCAAATTTCATAATATTTTAAAAGCACCAAAAATCTATCAAAGGTGAGGTTGATATGCTCAGAATATACACTGCATGCATGCACAGACAGGTGTGGATGTCATATGACATGAACAGGTGTCACATGACATATACAGACAAGCTAAACACAATAATAACAAAGACAAATCCGTTTTTTTAAATTCACAATAGAAGCTTTATTATATAAACAACTAATCTGAACATATGCACGACGGAGATGGTTTTATTTTGAAATTCATTACCGGATGTGTGCGTTTGTGTTAGCGGAAGCGTGACGCCTGTTTGTGCCGGAGCGGGTCAGCTGGTCGGTTAGTTTACTGCTTCAGTTAGCTAAGTGTTTGAGCCTTGCTGGCCCATGGGGAAGTGTCTGAGCTTTCTGTTTACAGACACTTTCCTCCTGTTATCTGACAGCGGAGCAGCTTATGTTAGCTAGGTGTTTAGGATCTGCGTTCATTCAGGTGGCTAGTGAGGATTTAATCCAGCTGACAGCTTGGAGCATCCTGCTAGGCTAGCAGCTAAACTAGCAAAATACCCTGGATAGAAGTTAAGGTGAGAAGTGTTCACTTTTGTTTTCATTAATGACACTCGTGTAGTTAGCCACATGATAGCTAGCTGCTCACTTTTATCTGTGTGTTTTATGAAATTTCACAACAATACATCATCCGTATGTGTTTTTGTGTGATACAGCTAACGTGATTCTAATGCTGCCAGTGTTGCTGCAAAGACATGTCTGCTCACTGAGATCAACAGTGACTTAAACTTTATAGAGGCAGGAAGGCTTTTCTGAGTGACCCTGTTCTTCATTACGCTGAATTACTCAGTCATTAATCAAGTGAAATAAGTAGTTGTTACTTCCACAGTCTTTGCCCTGAAACAAACAAACGTACTGATCAGTAGATTATTTTGCTAAAGCACACATTTTAAAAAAAATCTGTGCTGCTTACTAAATCATATGTATGCCGAATTGAAAAGTGATTCTTAAAGTTTAAGAAATGTCTTGAATCGATTTTTTTTAACCCGTGTGAATTCTTGCCAAAGTTGAATAAGTGCTAATAGCAAGATAAGTGATTGGGGTTCTTTTTGTATGGAAGATAGAACTGAACGACCACTTGTTGTCTTTTTTTCTTATACTGGGAATGCTTATTCTTACATTATAGACCTTGTACAACTTGTTTTGGAAATACTGTACTTAAATATGGTCAAACTGATAAACGCAAGAGTGAATAAAACATATAGCTGGCTTCTGCTACCTGGCTTCTGTTGTCCTTTCAGGTAAAGACCAGGGTGATCAACCATGGCAGGTGGAATTACAGAGACCGGGGAACCCTACTCCGCATTTGTGAGTATCATGCAGGATGCTTTGGTTAATTCTTAATCTCTTTTAGATAATTTAAGTTCAGGCACAATGTGGGATTGTCATTAGGCTGTGTGGTAGCCAGAAGCTTGAAGCTACAGTGGATAGATTTACTGAATTCAAAGACAACCCGACTTTGCAAACTTATGTATTACTTCCTTGCTTATAATAACAGGGTTTTATTTTCATGAAACTTTCTGTGGGTTATCCAGCGGATGTAAGGAGAGATTGTGCGTTTGAAAGTGCTGTGAAAAATAAAGAGGAAGCTAAAATGCTTACACACCAGGCCCGTTTATGGTCTGGAGTTTTGACAGCACATTTGAGTCCCTCGCTTTGCTAGGTCAGCATGACCCTGCCAAAAAGATAAAGTTCTGCTGGTGAAAGGTTTTTTTTTTTTCTCCAGGAAGCTAAAAAAGCTTTGAATCATTAAAGCGCAACCTGATAGGGGTAAAAGCTGCCTTAGTTGTCTTCCATGGTCGATTCCTTCATCTAGTAGTCTGATCCTTATCAACTAGGGTGCTGAGAAACACCTGATACTGCAGGGTCTGAGGTTGAAGTAAATCATTAATATTAGATTAAACTTAAGTGATCCCTCTAGAGAAATTAGGTCAGTGCAGCAGGAGGTGTACAAGCACACAACATACAGTATAAAATGAATTATAGTTGAATCTCAGCAGGGCCTCATTAGACTTGGACATTGTTCTCATGTCTCCTCCAGGTGGGGCTGGTGTATATGTTCAATCTGATTGTGGGAACAGGAGCTCTGACCATGCCCAAAGCCTTCGCTACAGCCGGTTGGGTGGTCAGTCTATCACTCATCGCCTTTTTAGGATTCATGAGGTAAGTCTTGTTCTACCGCAGCATCGATTTTAGAGCAACATGGAGAATACCTGTACTGCACACTGACCCACCTCATGTCCATTTCCAACATGTGTCGCTTCTCTTACTGTCTATTTGAACAAAGAGCTAAGATAAATGTAATTAGAGTTTTATTGGTATGCACAAGGTCAAATACGTGTTTTTCCCTTAAGAAAAGGTACCCTATATTGGAGGGGTTGTTTTTGTCATGGTGTGGTCTTTATTAAAGAAACTCTTAATGCTACAGGATTCAATTTTAGACAATAGTTCTTCCACCAGCTTGTGTTTGGCCTTTTCCTGTTTCAATAAGACAATGCCCCCGTGCACAAAGCCAGCTCCATAAAGAAATGGTTTTCCCTGTTAAGTTTGGAAGAAGTTGAGTGACCCAGAGCCCTGACCTCAGACTCTCTCGTCCAACATCAGTGTCTGACAACACAAATACTCTTCTGGATGAATGGGCACCGACACACTCCCATATCTTGTAGAAAGCCTTCCCAGAAGAGTGGAAACTGTTAAAGTTGCAAAAGGTAGATGCTGTAGAAGTTCCTTTAGGTGTAATGTGTTTACTTTTGTCTATATAGTGTATTCAGAGGTGAAAGGTTGTTTATTATTCATGTGTGTAGTATGAATTGGTCTGAAAGTAATGAAATGGTTGCTCTTGGGCTTTTTCTTATGTTGGCAAGTACTCACATGATCAGTGAGGACGAGTACACATTGAAGTTTATGTTCCTTTTTGAAAATTGTAGCGATTTTATTTATTTTTTTTATGAGAGAAAGTTTCCTTCTTTTGGATATTTGCTGAAACTTGTTTTCATTTGAGGCAACAGTTAGCCCTGGATAGCATCTCCTGAAACCTAGACATGTTCAGTCACTCGTTGGCTAGTGAAATGTGTTACAGGAAAAGTGTTGAAAATATAAACTTACTGGAATGTTAGGCATCGTCTTTGTGATTTGTAGGGCGGGGAAAAACTATGCCCAGGAGGTGCTCTGTAACTAAAAACATGATTTACTGAGAAATGTCTTTTCCCTAATGTCCCTAAAAGATGTATAAGTTATTATTTATTATTAATTCTGATTAAAACAGTGTCCTTTCCTAAATCTTGTCTTCGCCAAGAAGTTTTCGAATGATCTGAGGAGTTCACATTTTGAACACTCTTCCCGTAACAATTTTTTTTGACCCACTGAAGGCCAATTTATGCTTGCAACGAATATTCACTGTTGGTACTCTGTACCCTACGCCGTAGTTTGACACACAACTCCCCACACATTTAACTAACTATGATTGTTCAGCTTGGTAGCATCGCATATCCTCCTCCATTTCTGGCTTCTCTTTCTGCCTCAACCGGTTCAAGGGTCACGCATACCATCTCCTCTGACGCCTACCTTCATTTCTGCGTTTTAGTAATTTTTACAAAAAGTAAATGGTCTGTTTTTGCGTAGCGCCTTTCTAGTCTTTCGACCACTCAAATTGCTTTTACACTACATTACATTCACACAAGTGCAAGAACCGCCGATCTTCCAATTAACAGGCAACCCGCTCTACCTCCTGAGCTGCTGCACAACATCGATCAACTTCAACTCCAACATGATCCACTCAGTTTCAGATGCCGTTGTAGCGTCTAGCCAACTCTGGCCTCGAGTAAATGAAATGTCTGAGTTACAGTAGATCCAGGAGAATCTTCCACCCCAGATTTTCTACCTAAGTAATTGTTGTGTTGATTTCATATTTGTTTTCAGGCCGTGTATAAACAGTAAAGATGTCACTGCAGCTGTTTATGTTGTCTTTGTTGTTGCATGCCAAACACACAGACAAAGAGAAGCGACTATGCATGATGGTCCAGGACCAGGGGAAGGCAACAGTGTTGTAGAAAGAAACATGCACAAAGATGTTTGACCAGATGTTTGTTGTAATAATGGATAGACTCCGTTGGTGGAAATTAAACATATGTTGCTGTTGCTATGAATAATAAAATCTCTTTGTTTTGCACAGTTAATGATTTAAATGATGGTGGACACACTTCATTTGAACGCCAGGGTCATTACTAGCAGCTCGTTAACCTAAAGGTCGTCTTATCTTTCACTCTCTCCTGTCACCAGCTACATGACCACCACGTTTGTGATTGAGGCGATGGCGGCGGCCAATGCTCAGCTGCGCTGGAAGAGGAGAGAGCAGGAAGAGGTGAGATGATGAACTCTGTCTTAGTTAATATGTAAATATCTTTAATAGGGGATTGGATTGGTTTCAGTACTGGATGGACAGTTCTCTGTTTGCTGTAAGGATGTGTCAGACAAACCAAATATTAAAGTAGTAAATGTTCCTCTCTGTCGGGGGGGAGTTTGTCTAATAAGACATTAAGCCAAATACTATTTACACTCTGCAGGCAAAAAAAGTGGAACTAATGTGAGTATAAATGCTGCACAGGGACATTTCCAGTTCTTTGCTCCAGTTAATGTGCTTTCAGGTCTTGTTCTGACATATTTAGGCAGCTAATAACAGAATTAACTTCATCTTTTTTTTTTTTTTTTACGACGATAAACCAGTGAAATAATCTGCGTCGATATAAACACAAATCCAGAGGGACTTCAGTCAGGGAGAGTGATGGTGTGCTTGTGTAGAACCACATTGCAAGATTAATGAGAACTATCCCTTCTTCCTTTGGAGCATGCCAGCTCCCCTTTGTTTCATTGATTCTAAAAAAGAAAAATAGACTTATGCTGATCCAGACTTGGCACTGAGAAAACACAAATACTGGATAATATGGGAGCATGCAGCGGACAGGGGTGCACTCACTATAGGAAAATACTTTGTTACTATGGATGTGTCCTGTTGAGTTAAAGCTGGATTTATACTGTGGTTAATGGCTCGTCATAGATACCTCTTCCAAAGGTACGTTAGGTCAGTGCTAGAGAATGGCGTCGCCCGTCAGAGGGCCCAAGTCCATTTAGTAGGCTCACCGCAGGGCTTAGTGATGACTCAAAACATCACGACACATGAATACAAGAATTTCTAAACCAATCATTCAAAAACCTTCATTATAACTAAAGTGAAATGAACTGGTCTGCGATTATTTAAACATGTAACACATAATAGTAGACATTAAAGACCTTGCAGTTTACTTAAAGATCTTAAAGTTGTGTTTCTGTATCACCAATGGTGAGTGATCTTATCACTGAGCGGGCGTCCTTATTTGACCATATAGACATCTCCTCTTTCACATTTTCTGTCTGTCTGTTGAGAGAAACAATGACTGTTTAAATTTGTAGCCCCGTAAAATACCTAGACTGTAGAATATATCATATTTAAAGACTGAAACGAAATTCCCCTTTTAACAGGAAGCTGTATTTTTTCTTTAGAGGTCTGTTGTTGTTTTATTGTCCAATCTTAGCACAAGTGAAATGTGTCTCTTGCTACCCGTCTTTAAGAAACCCAATTTGGATGAAGCCGTCAGTGTAGGACTGTACCTCAAGGGAAACCGCCCAGGCTTCAATCATTTTTCCTTTGACTAAGAAAAAGACTTGGTGCACTTTAAATGGCTCGGCCTTTTGCTTTTTGTTTCTCCCCCTGGTACAGAAGTCATCTTGCTTAATGCCTGTGGGTTTCCAGTTGAGGAGTTATGAGCCTGTGGACAATAGCCTGACTCTAACTGAGCCCCAAACACTCTGCCTTGATTCATGCCTCCTGTACTCCTCTCATCCGTTTCCTCCCACGTAATGGAAAACAAGAGGGGGAGAAAGCTGGAAGTGTTTGCCCCTGAATGCTTTTTATTTCGCTCTGCTTGAGTGAAGCATATTAACGAAAATAAAGGCCATTTTTACGATGATGCATCATATGTTTTCCAAGAAAGTCTCATATAAGTTTATTAGGTGGAAACCGGAGACGGTGAGTTACAGAATGGCCTTTCTTTCTCTGTTACCTGCTATAGAAATCATTTTAATCCAGCTCATATTGAAAACAAGGCAGGTTTGTAGGGAAAGATACAGTATCCAACTCTGTTCTTGTGATGTGAACAGGCGTAGTGGATGATCCCTTATAGGACATCCCCTGTGTGAATGGTAGTAGTGGAGATATGACAAGCCTGTGCTGGGAGTATAGTGGGACTTGATTGTGTTAATGTCTTCTCTTTATAAAGCTTCAACATGGGCTGTATTCTTAGATATTCTCTCCCCAGATGTAAAAAAGCCATTAAGAAATGAAAAGGGCACCGCTAATGGTCCAGTCTTGCAAATCTGCAAGCACAACCACTGTATATGGATATATTTCTATTACACTTACAGTATGTCAGAGTATGGTTGTGCCCAGCTGAAGCCTCATCATCTAAGCTAGTGGTTGGCAATAAGCAGCGCGCGGGCCAAAGCTGGTGCTGAAACAGAAAAAGCAAACAGCTAAAGTTACTCACATAATCACTAGTGATTGTGCCTACAAAATAAAAGAGCAACAACATTATTGCAGCAGTACTTAATGTTTAATTTTTTTTTTTTTATTGAGAGCTTTTACTTTTTAAAGTCCTGAAGGAAATTCAAAAGGCTTACTTGACACACCTCCGAAAAAGCCGTCAGAAAACGTGAGATCGGATTCCCCTGAATGAGAAAAGCAGGAAGTTCCTCTGCCTGGAGATACTGGGAAAATAAGCGTCATGTGGACCACTCGCCGGGAGGCACCCACTCCTGCACATGCTTAATTGTGAACGTGTAAGACGATCTCTTGATAATCAGTTTGTTGAAAAGGGAGAAAAAAGCAAGTGGGTATTGAACACAAAACCTTTTGCGCAGAAGTCCTGTGCACTACTGACTGTGCTAACCAGGCAAACAATAATAGCTGTATTATAAATGATCAATTCATCAATTGTCTCTAAGCTGTACATTTTATTACATACTTTGCGCAGGTCAAAAGAGCCAGAATCCCGGAATAATCTGGAAACATTGCATCCCTTATTGCTGCATTTGTTTCTACAGTGATATTTTATGCTTTGTTGTATGTTCAAAGCACACCGACTGATTTGCACATGTGCAACAAATTCAGTTCATTTTGCCATAGGCACCAGTGTTATAATCCACCTATTTCGCAATGTTAACAAAAGTGAGAAATAATTTGTTTATCTGCCATGTGATTCAGATCAACCCCAGAATGTAAAGGGTTCTTCCTTGGTCTATGCTGCACCCTGCCCCCAAGTTTCCTGAATAACAGGCCAGTTTTTCTGTAATCCTGATGGCAAACAAACAAACAAACAAACGGCACCTAAGTGTTTACTGAGGTAATAAATCAATTGGGAAGTAGGGTAATTTTACCATTATTTCTAATGTTTTTTTTTTTGCAACCAGTGGAGTCGCCGAATGCTGGCCGTTGAAAAGAAATCAGGTTTTAGGGACTTGTGCAGTGGCTTCACTTTTCAGACCCAGAGGTTCACTCTTGGTGAGGACCCAGTAGTCATGCAAGCATTAGAACAGGGTTTTACCAACATCATATCATGAAAAGCCACCAGAAATGAACAACAGATTAATTTATTTACATATTAAATGTTAAGTATGTCTGACAAATGTTTTATCAGCATTTGTTTTAATTCTTTTCTTTTTAGGACAACATATTGTAAAGTCAAAATCATGGTGTACTAATGTTGACATCGCTCTGCCCTAGAAAAATGCTCATTGGCCTGCATGGATTCGCAGATTTTACATGTAACCTGGTGTTCAACTTTGTTTCTTTATCAGTGTCTTACGCACGCACAGCCCGACTCTGATCCATAGCTGCACATGCTAATCTGGTATTTTGTTAGGTTTCTTATGTTTGCTGTTGCTTGTTTGTTGTTTGTCACAGAGCCATTAGCTCCTGTCACTCCTCATCTCCTCTTCCTCCCTCAGTCCCTGCCAATGTGTCACTTTAATTAATTCAGCTGATGACACTCACAAAGTTGAGCCTCATTGACATTAATCTGCAGAGAATTTGTAAGATGATAAGAAGTGATGTGTGGGTATGCGGTTGGTGTGAATATCGAAGTCCTCGATCCTCCAAAGTGCTTCCCAGCTGTTGCTTGTAATTTCCAGATGTTGCCTTTCCCTGCGTCATGCACAGAGCAAATAAACGCTGTCTTAATCGCTTGTAAACTGACTGTTGTTTATGTTACGATATTAGGAAAACACGCAACCAATATAGACCTTCACACACTCGTATTATCTCCACAGATCGATGACAGCGACTCCACCTCTGAGTATTCGGATGATGATGTCGTGGGCCGAGGCCGATCGGAGCCGGAGACGAAGCCCATCTTGTCTGTCCGTGAGTACGATAAGTGTTTATGGCACATGGATTTTATTACTGTGCCACTACTGACAACAAAAAGGGGGTTGAGCCGCTTATAACTGGGCACAGTTACATTCTGGTAAATCAACATGTCGTCCAAACTAAAAGACTAAACAGGTAGTATTTTGTTGTCCTGCAAAACCATTTATTCTGCTTTTAAAACTGCTTAGTTTAAGTTAGAGAGAAACTTAGACTTAGTTTGACATGGGAGACCACTGTTTCCCAGAAAGTCACAAGCATCGTTGACCTATATATCCACCCTGACCGCTTCCTTGTGGGGTTTTGTGGTGAAGTCACAAAATCACGTTACTTACGCCTTTGCTCCAGACCGACAAGAGTCATATTTCTTTAAGTGTTAGTTGTATGGATTTTAATAAATGACTGATGCTGTGATTTTTCTTGTGAGTATAGTCTCATTGCAGACAACATGTTTTGTAGGCAGGGACAATGGATGAAACTGCACTCTTAGTTAACCTTAGCAGAGGCTTTTTATTAAAAGCTAGAAGAGTAAACTCAGTAGAGAGCAGACCTCCCTCCACCAGGCCTGGTATCACCAAATTGCCTGTGAATAACACGCCGATATCTTCAGTCATTTTGCGTGTTATCACAAAACCTTTTTTTTTTGTTTGTTTTTCACATGTCATTTCACACCATTTGGTCTCTAATGACATTTTTTTGTGCAGAGAGGTCGTGTCATTTAACGTGCGAATGTCATCGAGGAAAAAAACAATCAGGTGAGGAATTTTAAGAGCAAGACCACGTAGGGACGACGTCAGGGTGGATGGATAGCTCAAGGAAACACAGGACTTTCACCCAGGAGACTGTTAACAGATTAACCGTACGTAACGTATTTTACTTGAGTCACACGCGTAACTTCACTGACATAACTAACGTTCTTACCTACCTGTCGGGTAAGAGGACAGAGCGGCGACCAGTCCATGGTGGACACTGCAGTCAAAAGGTCCTTGAGCAGTATAAGAGATTTACCCGCTGAAAGGTACACACACATTAAAACATGTGTGCAAATGTGAGTGCTGCTGTTGTGTCACTTCAGTTTATCCACTAAATCTTAACAATGGTGAACAGTAAAAAAATCACAGTTTTTTTAAATCACTTTTTAAAGCTTTTTTTAAACAGGGTCACGGTGCATTGTATCCAGCAGATGTGCTTTTTTCTGTGCACCTGTGTAGGCTAAGCACTGACCGTGAAAACAAGAGATGAAACTGTTTGCACTGCAGCTGCTTAATCGTACTGTCTAATGTGATGTGTTTGTAATGTTTCTTGTGTTGTCTGCCTAAATGTTGTGCTATTTTAAGTGTGCACATTGTAATGCAAGACAAGTTTCTGAGAAATGAGTGTAAATAAAATGAAATCATTACACTGCCCTTTGACAGTTAATTACCTGTACTGTGCACGATGTTCACTGTAGGTGGTTTCTGTGTTTTCACAGAGCGATCAGGAGGTCACGTCGACCATTTCGACATTGTGGAGCGGGTTGAGATGGGTCAAATGGCCTCTATGTTCTTCAACAAAGGTAATCTTCATCCACCCTCAAGCTTCTACTCTCGCTGCCCATTAGTCAATTAACTGCAGACACCGCCATCGTTAGCCACGTGTAACATTTATGGGAGAGTAGTGAAGGTTGAGTGTTTTTACACCTTTTCCGTCCAATCCTCACATTCACAGAGGAAGGCTGCTGGCTTTCTAATGGGATGTAATTATATATGGATAAATTGCCTTTGGTTGTAATTACCTGTTTGAGACTCCATCATGGCTGTTAATCTCCCTACTGTGCATGCATGTGGGAGGGGGTACAACCTGTACTTGTGGCAAAGGCGGTAAGACTTCTGCCTGAATCATTTGGGAGGTAATGAACCCTCCGTTAACTTGTGATGGCAAATTGAAAGCAGAATCACGTTCACCTTGAACCACACAGAACAAGCTTTACATTCCTCATTCTTATCAATACATTGTCCTGGCCGTGTCTGCGTGCAGCAAACCCCCTTCCCCTCATCTCTTCCCTCCCCTTGTCGGCTTACATTACGCCGACCGGCTCTTCTTAACCAGATGCGAGTGACTCAACAGTCTGCGGCGCCCCCGTTGTCGCAGGAATAAAGGAACAACGAAAGGTCACAGCTCTGACAACATCATCTGTGCTGACATGTTCTGTCCTTCGGCGTTTCAACACTAGGTGGAGCAGTCGGCACACACACAGTGTAACACGCGTCCACTCGGCTCATGTTCACACTCGCACGTGTGATCGCGCTCATGCTGCCGTCATGCAGCTCATGCTGTTAAAGCTGCAGTGTGCTCCCATCCATTCAGCCTCTTGTCACTCAGCTCGACTGTCCTGCCTGATAAAGGTGAAGTGCTTTAAAAAAAAAAAAAGGATCTTTCCCACTATTAAACAGACGGTGCAGGTGTGGCACGTGGAGGTATTGATTGGTAATAAGGAAATGAGTTTTCTCTCCTCTTCCCCACCCCCCCCCAATGCTATGGGAAAGCTGCCCAGTGACTATAATCAGAAATGAATTAGATAGGCACGAGTCCCGGCACATGCTGAACGAGGAAAGGGGAAATGCAGCTCCTCCGCCGTCTGTCCTGACAGCACCGACCTGCACAGTTTCTACCTGCTATCCAGAATTTTCACACCTATTTTCACAAATGAATAAATGAAATGGGTCCAAGATTATATTTGAGTTTTGTACTAATGCCTAACTTCTTAATGTTTAAAATGAGCTCAGTTTTATTTATCAGGATCTGTCTAATCAATTACAAATCTGCAAGACATTCGATGCCAACTTTTCAGTCAAGTTTTTAATATTCGCTGTGCTGTGGACTACGGGTTGCGTTCTGGACGACCACACTGGAAAACGGTGTGAAAAGCCGTTTTTCAGAGATTTGTGTCTCCTGGAATAAATTCACAAAGTTGCAACCAGTTGTTAAAGATAGTTGTTTAGAGAGAGAGAGAGGTTTAAACCCTGGCTCCTTGTCTCACCTCTGTCTGGCTGATGAAACATGGTGTGAAGAGGGTGTGAATGATGAACTGTCAGTGTTTGAAAGTTACAGAAAAGCACATCCGGCAAGCAGTTCTGATGTTTCTGATGAAGTTTGCTGGCAGCTTAAAGCTGAAGCAATTAGCTGATTAATTAATTTGTCGATCGACATTCTTTGGTTGATGTTTCTCATATGTGAGAGCTTTTCTTTGTCATACATGACAGTAAATAGAATATTTTTGGACTGTTACCAAAATCTTTTCTTAATCCACTAAAATTTCACTTTTCTTGGGTAAATTTGTTGATTTAATTAGTGTTTAGTAAAGTTGTAGACTCAGTGCCAGGCGAGAGCGCTAATAGAAAGGACAGTCTTGTGTGAATATGTAAAAACTTACTGATTAACTGTCAAGTTAATAATCTTGATTAATCCAGTCATTCTCAAGATAATAAGATAATAGTTAGCAGATTTATAATGAAAATAACTGTTAGTTGCAGTGTGTCAACTTAATTCACACCGGCCCCGGGAAACAAACCTAAATTGCAAAGGATTATGGGTGTGGTAGGGGACAGATCTGATGACCTATAGTTTCTCTTTCTTGGAAAGCAGAGGAAAGCGAATTCAGCTGAAGGCAAACTGCTGTCTGGACTGCCAGTTGTATTCAGCTCTTTCTTCATGTGTTCAAGGAGGTTAATAACAAAGAAAGAGTGCAAACAAGTCCATTAAGTTACAGGACGGTAAAACAGTTGTAACACCACTTCCCCACCCTTCACAGATGATAAACAATAGGCGAGACTGCATGCTGTCTTTCTATTCTGCTCCTTTGCAAGCAATTAAACGGCATCTCTCCTGCTGTTTAAGAGGCACTCGTGGAGGGCATTTGACTTCCTCCTGGACTGAAATTGACATGGCAGCGGTAAGGCAGGCTTGGAATAAGGCCATGGGTATCGTATCTGCCTGACCTGCAGGCACTGACAGGAATGTTGATGGGGGCTGGTTTATCTGCACCACTGTGGAAAGGTGTTGCTATAACCTTCACATTGATGATTTGAAAGTTGATTAGAAGACGACTTTGGTTAAAGTCACAAAAGAGAGAGGCTAACGGGGCGCTGTCCTTGCATCAGCATCTTGTCTCAGCTTTTCTTACCTCTGTGATGTGATGTAGTGGATTATTTCTTAAACTTTAGCCGTCCTTCCCCTGACATACAGAGGACCGTGGCAGCGAATAGTAATTTACTCTGCTGCAACCCGGGCTTCTGTCTTTAATGAGAGCCAAACATGCGCACATCCATTTTTAATACTTCAGTGACTTTTACTTAAATGTCATACTTGAGCATTGAGAGCATTTGCAAAATGAAAATCAGGCGTTCCTGAGTCACTGGGAAGATAAATGGATGTGTTTGCTTCGGCTCGCCGCCCAATCATTTTCCATAAGCCACTCCATTGATACTTTACTGTCTCTGCAATGTAAGAAATGCACTGTAATTTGTGCATCTCTACGTTCTAATGGCTAACTGTGATCAACCCAACAGATCGATATTACGAGTTGAGTACCAGGAAAGATACTTGCTCCAACGAAAACTTGATTTGTTTCTCAAAATGAAGCCAAGTGAGAACTTTTATGTTTTAACTTCAGTCCTTTCTGTTAGAAGTGTATTTGTATGATTTGAATTTGCCTTTTTGTAACACGGTTTCCCAGCCTGAAGGTAATGTTGTGAGCAGTCACGATAAGATTAGATTAGATGAGTATATCTATATCTATAAGAGGGCACGTCCAGGTTTATCAGTATATTTCTTGATTACAATTCTTCAGACCTCTGAATTGTTGCCCAGGACTTTTTTTTTTTAGCAGTTCCAATCCGATGTCTGATCTTGCTTTCTTTAGACGCTAATGATAATGAAAATAACCTTTTAGTTGCAGCCGTAGTGTAAATGATGTTAACTATTGATTATTTTAATGGTATACTGACAGAGAAATCCAGTCTGTTACCTGCACCACCCAGAAGTTGTGTTAAGTACTGTAGACCTAAATTGGCCATCATACCAAATACTGTCCTATTTACTTATTTTAGAGACGTGTTTTTAATGGTGTTATTGCCTTCGTCTATAATCTGAGTTCATCATCAGTTCACTCTGATTTAGAAGTGGAAGTAGAATTTGAATATAAGGAGAGACAAATTAGGTAAATTTCACTTTCCTCCTTCCTTGTCACCTAACTCCATGAAAACAAGTCTACTTACAGGGGAGGTCAAAGCAGACTTATAATTGGATTCTTAAAATAATTCCTGTTATGTAATGTACAGTACTAAATCCCTACCATTATACGGTAATAAAAGTGCCTTCACATATTATACTCTTAGCTAACCAGTGGCTGCTTGCTTCTGTAGCTGCTCACGGAGAGGTTGTCAGGCCTGCTGTCCGTCAGAAGCAGAGTGATGATGGATAGTGGTGCGTTTCACAGCTACATGAAAGACCGAGCTCCTACGTGAAGACCCATTTTGCAGCATTTTCGCCTGTGGCTCTGGGTAATTGGGAAATATTAGTTACAGTGCCGTGAAGGCCTGCATCCCTGTGGTCATGCAGGGCTCTCGCCTTGCTATCGCTTACTGACAGCGGCAGCAGAGTACAGTACGTCCTGTTTTTGCTATCTGCCACCGGGACACTAATATGCCTTGTCCAACAGTTTACCACAGGAGACATTATGCTGTGCAGAGAAGGATTTGTTTCGTCAGCTATACAATGTGAGAAATTAGACTAATAAACACAGGCCTGTCTGGTTTGAACCTGGAAAATATTTTATTATCATATTATATCATATACTGCTTGAGTCAGACCGATATTTCATCATTTCCTTGCTTGCAGAACTACTTACACTCTACTTTGCATTTTAAGGCTGCATGAAAATAAGTACTGACTTGAGCCTTTTTCTTGCTGCACCTGACATTAAGTATACCGTTAAACCATCACTTCCAAAAGTAACTTATATTGTCTTGTGACTCATGCATTTGTAATTACATAGTTTGGGTATTGTTGGAAAAGTCGATAACTAGTGATGAGACGATACCCGGATTTCGATGCTGATACCAAAACCGTACTTTCGATACCTTTCTTTGACAAATACAAAAAATGTTTTTCTACAGAAGCCATTATTTGTTGTATTTAATAAATGTTAAAAGCACCATAAGGCTATGTGCAGCAACGTAATCAGATTAGAAGTTATTAGGAGGAAAGATTTTCACCATCAGAAAGTAAAAAAAAAAAAGATGATCTTTTATATATAAAATTGGTCATCTCAAACTTTTCTCATCACTTGCATATTTTTTCAAAGTATTGATTAAATTAAAATCACCCAAGGCTGAAGCACTTAAAAATTCTTAAATCAGTGCAATCATCTCTGTTGATTGCCCCATTCAGTGTTTATTGATTTGGTCGTTTTTATTTTCAAAATGACGCATAATGCTCATTACAGCTTTGAAGTAGAGCTAGTAAAATCTTTTGTAATGTGATTTTCTCTTTCATGTATTGGGTTTTCTGTTTTTTCTTACTTTTAAGTGGAGTTGAAGGGTTGGTGTTTCGTGCATTCTCATAAAACTGGCTTTAACTTTTTAACTGATTCACAGAAACATCAAGTGCCAGTAGAGGCAAACCATGGCCCTATATAACAATATAGTTCTGTTTTTTTTGTTTGTTTGTTTATTTCACAGCCTCGGCCATAATAGCTGCTTCACAAATACAAAACTATTTGATCACAGCTGAGCTGAAAAGTGGCTGATCATGTGATATCCCAGTTCTGATCCAGTCATTTAAATGTGAGCATCTCATGATGTGACAGAATGTAATAAGTGATCAGATAAATGTTTGGACAGTTGCTTTACATTTGCACATGTCCAGTTCCTAAATCGGAACAATGCGAGAATGATATATTGGAATAACGGTCCAGAAATTGTAGACAAATACCATGTGGTTGAAATGTCTTTCAATTAGTGCTCAGACAGTCGGCAGGTAAAAAAAGAAACCCCTCCAAATACTAACATACAGGGTGCAAAATTAACTTTTTTCTCCACCAGCCTAATGGCTTGTGAATGTTTAAATTTTTCGATTCAATACTAGTCCAGTGGACAGCACTGTGGCCTCACAGCAAGAAGGTCCCGGGTTCAAACCCCAGTCGTCCCGGGCTTTCTGTGTAGAGTTTGCATGTTCTTCCCTGTGTCTGCGTAGATTTTCTCCCAGTTTCCCCCACCATCAGTACCATTGACCAGTGATACTGCTATAGATCTGGAATTGGTCCCCAAGCGCCGCACAGCAGCTGCCTACTGCTCCCTTGAGGGATGGGTTGAATGCAGAGGATATCTACCAGCATCTGGCTGTAATTTTGTACCCTGCTTACATACTATAGTACTTTAATTTGCGGCACGGCTCAACAGTCCACTGGAATCCATTCTCCTTCATTTTACCACTGAGTTCTTCTGCACCTTCTCTAGGCACTGAGAAATGTTCTCTTTAGCCCAAATATTCAGGAAGCATCTCACTTTGTCGTGAGTCCAGATTTGTTCCGGGCTAGTTGACATTTTGGTAGCAAAACAGCATGAGAAAATGTTTTTAACCAATGAAATGACACATAGAATAGGTTGTTTCCTGTTATTTGTTCGAATGGTGTTGGACCACCTCTTAGACACGGACCAGAGAGCGTTTGTCTGTGTCCAGAGTTTGAGTCTTGACGTTCACACCAACACAAATGAACCGCACCAAGGGCATAAATGCTCCAGGGTTTGTTCAGCCGGATTAAAGAGTATAGAGCAGAAATGATTAGTCAATCAATCAATTAGTCAAGTGACAGAAAATTAATAGGCAATGATTTTAAAGTTTATTTTTAACCAAAAATGTCAAAACTCTTCAATTTTAGCTCCTCAAATGTTAGGATTTGCTGTTGGCTCATATTGACTTGCAGTAGCACTCTGTAGGCCTCCAGTATCTAATGTTGGTTTCTGACTGTGAACAGCTTTTTTAAAACTAGATGAATGCGTACTGTCTGTTTGGCTGCCAGTTCCTTATGTTTTCAGCTTTTTGTCACAGCCTAATTTAACTGTTTGATAGGCACCCTCAGCTCTTAATTCATAAAATAATTAGTGTCGCCCATAAAGCTGTGAATCTGTCACTTTTTATTTCTTTTTAATGGACTCTATGTTAGTAATGAATTAGCTGAGGGGTCCAGTTGGACGGTTGAACCCCCTTCTGAGAATTCAAGAGCATGATGGATGTGTGGTGCACTGTGATGATCTATCTGCTGGTAAAGCGTTCGATCTTGTCTTGGCAAAAGCAGCCGGCTCGGGGCCGCTAGTTGGGCGCGTGGATGAAGAGAGAAGGGCAGATGGTTAAACGCTTGTGGCTGTGGAGAGTAAAGACTGATAAGGAACATTTCCTTCATGGAGTGATTTGTTTGTTTAATTAATGCTATTAATATTTTTCATTGGACAAATAAGATGTGCCTCCGCTGTACAGGCTGCTGTCCCAGAAAAGGGATGGAGGGACGTAATGAGCGGATGAGAGTGCATTTTAATAGAAATGGCACCATAGTGGTAAAGTCTGACACACATGGTCCATCAAGCATGCTTCATGATGAAGTGTTTGGACGGCTGATAAAGATGAAAAATGTGTTTGATCTTCGCTTCCTGACCTCCTGTTACTTTAAGAATCTGTTGATTTTCTTCACATAGACAAACTTTGAACACATTTCTTGAGTCATATATTGATCTTTTTTATATTTGTCTTTCAGTTGGTGTCAATATGTTCTACATCTGCATCATAGTCTATCTGTACGGAGACCTGGCCATCTACGCAGCAGCTGTGCCTATATCACTGATGGAAGTTGCCTGGTAAGACCAATATACATACTTTATCACATTCATTCTCAGTTTTATAGTGAAATAAAACTTCTATACAGATAGATTATTTTAGATTTTGTGCTTTGAAGAACATTTGCTTTTGTTCCGTTTTGGCACTGGCTCCTTTGCTCTTCTTTGGTCGTATAGTCACCTTCTGAACTCAAGATAAATACAATAAAGCTTTGGCAACAGAGGCCTTTAGGCCTGCTGACCTCTTACGGGTGCTGCTGGCACCTGATACATGCTGCCCTGCTTCCAGGCAGATTTTTATTGCAAGTCCGTTGGCCAGACTGGGTGAGAATGAGGTGTTTCATAAAGTTACGGACTCAGCCCTTCAGACCCTGGACCACAGAAATAGCTTTACCCTCTTTACTGTTGTTTTAGTGACAGTAAAAGTTTCTGACAACAATGTTTTTGGTAGTTTAAGGCAGTTAAATCATTTTAAAAGAAAGTATATCTGTTTTATAAACTACCACCATGTTATCTCAGTGATTTCTCTGACTTGAAAAACGTGTCCATGTCGTGTCCCTGCAAAGCCAGGTCCATTTGAAACTTATTGTTGTTTACTCCTGAAAACAATGTCGTTTTTTTTTTGTAAAGATCTCAACCATGCTCAAACAAAATGGCTGAATCGCTTCCTCGTTGTACTCTGTAGATCAGTAAAAAAGAAAAAGGTCATTCTCTTGTGGTGCAATGCCTGTTTAATTTAAGATTGGGAACATAAACATGAATATAGGTACATAAATGATGTGTGATTGCCTAAAATGAACATGGCAGTGATTACAGATAAAGTAATAGACAACAGAAGGCTGTTGTTGTCACATGTATCTTGAGATGGTTCTCTAAAAGCTCTTTTTTAGGCTATAAGAAAATGCAGGCTTGGCGTGGACGGAGGGCCAAAACTGGGAGAAAAAGATGCGTCTTCAAATTTAGCCTCACTCATAACATCCAAACTTGACCCCTGTTACCAAGTTCCTTGGACACACAGCACACTGACAGAAATAGAACTGATTACCTAGATCGGATCTTTCATCAGGACATTGTTATAAAGCTTTCACATTACCTTCACTAAGTAAACTGAATTCCCCTTACAGTTTCCTTCATTTATTGTTACATTGAATTTACTTAATTCAGTCCTGATTTTGAGTTGGAAAAAGTCGTCTTCTCTTAATTGTTGTTGTGACAAAGCGGGCCTATCTCATCCTGTCCTGGGGCACAGCACGCTGATGCTGTCTTCTCGTATTAAATTCTCCTCCACTGTGGTCCAAACCCCGCTAACCTTCCAGCAAAAATAAATGTGAGATGTAACTGAGACTTCAAAAGCAGTTAGCTTTGCCTGAAGGCACAAACTGCAGATTTCTTAGTGGCATGGGCAGAGCCAGATGATTTTACTAAAGCTCAGTCTGTCACGCAACAATGATAGGGTTTGTGATTACATTAAGAGATACTCTTTAAGTTTTTACAACCTCTGCTGCACACAACATTTTTTCTTCGCTTTTCCTTTAGCTGATTCATCCGATTGTGTCTTTCATGATATGTAAACCCAGACATTTAAATGACACGTTGTAATGAGAGTTCAAACATTCAATTTAAAAGGGCAGTGTTGATGCTTTGCAGTCTGCATCAGTTTCAGATAACAATATGTCACAAGATTGGGGTTAAAAAATTAAGTTGTGTTTGTTTGTGTTTTTGCCTATGCAGTGGAAATCACTCCTGCAGCGCTGGAAGTGTGAAGTACAACGAAACAGACCCGTGCTGGGGTTCTGTCACGAGGAAAGATGCGTACCGGGTGTTTCTGGTAAGTGTTGATTCCTCTTCAATCAGGCCGATATCTGGCATTTTGAGGTAATCAGCGGTGGCCGGTACCTGCACTCACAATGCTGATAAACATAAAATGTCTGCAGATACGTCTGCAGGCAGCCTTGTCAGTTTGGCTTCTGTGGAACAATGTTAGTGCTCCCCCAGTGTGAGTTTTGGGAAGGTGATGAAAAAGTTAGTTTGGAGCCTTAAACGTCCTCAGTCACCATCGTCTTTTCTAAATGTTAATACATTCCTCCCATCCCAAATCAATATCAATATCAATTTTATTTATATAGCACACTTAAAACAACCAAGGTTGGCCAAGGTGCTTCACAGGTTAATTACAACAACAAGACACTACTCACACAGTAAAAGTACAGCAATAAAACATTATATTATACAGTACATGATATATAGTGATATTAAAATTGCCAGGAAAAATAACTTAACTCAAAGGAAATGCCAAAGAAAAGAGATGTGTTATGTGTATAATGACAGCTAACCTAATGTTAAACCATTACTGGCTAGAGTTAAATATAAATTGTTATACTGTAGAGCAGTGGTCGGCAATAGGCGGTCCGCGGGCAAGAACCGGCCTGCCAGCAGTAACATCTGGCCCCTGGCCAGATTGCTTTGATAGCAGAAAAATAAATAAATTGATAGGCTGGTGCTGAAATAGATATCAGTCATGACAGATACAGCTACTCACACAATCACTTCCTCTTAAGTAATTGTGGCTGCAAAATAAAAGCGCAAATGCTTTATGTTGAGTTAATTGAAAGCTTTTACTGTGAAGAGTTCTGAAGGACATTCAAAAGAGTCTCTGGCTTGCTTGACACACCTCTGGGAAGAATGTAGAAAGTTGCGCGGCGCTCTAGTTCGCATCCTGAATTTCCTCAGGGACATGAAAAGCATCCATAGATTTATGATTGCAGATCAAAAAACCGGGCGCACACACACACTGCAGCACGTGCCTTATTGTGAGCATGTGCAAAAATGTCCTTATAATCAAGTAATAAGGAGGAAAAAACATACTTAGTTAATTGGAATTGATCTTCCAATCTTCCTAACGGGAGTCCCACACAGTGCCTACTGAGCTAAACCTAAACATGCACATGAGTCTACAAGGATTTGAAATAATTTGACTTTGTTCTGGCCCGCCACATAATGGCTTGAAAAAAATCCTGGCCCCACGGCAGACTTAATTGCCGACCCCTGCTGTAGAGAATAATAGAGCTTGATGATGTCACCTCTGACCAGTGTTGGGCAAGTTACTGAAATTGTAATAAAATATTAGGTACTTATTACGCCTTAAAAAATTAATACCGGTAAGATTACTTTACTTATCACTAGTTACGTTACTATATTACTTTCACCCCCAACCCCCCCTCCAAATAAAGCATTCTCTATGTAAAATAGTTTGCAGTTGAAATCCTTTTGTTCTTTGCATCAAAGTACTGTTACTGAGTAAGGGACGTTAAAAATACAGACTCACTGGATGGTAGGAAATCTTCTTAGGAACCTACCAGCTAGGAGAAAACAACGTGAAGAGAGCACCTGAGAAAGAGTGAAGAAGATAGGACAGTATCAGTCAGTTCTTTCACTGAACTGTTTACATTTTTACAAAGACATGGTAAAAGTTGAGGATTGTTGAACAATGTGAATATCAACAGGGATTTCTCCTTTTTGGAATGATACTCGACGAAGATGGTTGACAGTACATGAAAGTATACGTTCATGTTTCAGTGCAGCTGCGATTTGTCTGCGTACATCCTGTGCAGGTGTTTTTATCTCCTGCGTGAACAAGGTGTAATGTGCCAAGCCATGCCTGCTTATCAGATGCAGCTCTGGCAACATTTTCCGTCCCTCCCTCGCCTGGACTTCCCCGGACACCCCCAGCCTCTGCAGGCCACAGGAAGTGTGTGTGTCCTTGAAGTCTTAAGCGAGCCAAACTCTGCGATTTCCACTCGAGCTTTAACTTAGCACAGCGACAGTGATAGATGTGCTGATCTCCCCCTGTATAATTTCTCAGCCGCCCTCCTCTCTGCTCTCCCTGTTTCCTGTCCTTGCTTATATTTTAACAGGATGAGAAGACCCCAAATAATTTGTCGATAAATTAACTTTTCCCACTTTATCTCCTGTGGGATAAGCTTCTTACTGTTTGTAAGCAAATTGAAATAATGCTGATTTGTAATCTCTGGTCAGTTTGTTTACACTTGCAGTTTTGCAGTCTAATTTCCCAGTTTCAACTGCTCAGGGAAATAGATATGTAACACCACAGAATACATTTACCAGTGAACACTGACAAGTAGAGATGCACTGATCTGACCTTTTTCTCCAGCTATACTGATACTTAATAATGGCCATACAAGCACTGCTCTCAACACCAATGCTCTTTTGTTTTTATTATTACCAAAAATCTGAAACCTCTCTTTGACTCTGATTAAACTGGTAACGGGTCACATGAAGCTGTTAACTGCACCGCTTCGATGGGTGGAACCTGACAATCTCACAGTCGAAGCTTCGCAGCGGAAATAGGATCACGCCATTTTGGCGATATGGGGGTGCTCAACGTCTGATTTTACATAGAACTACCAGTTTTCTCCCAATAAGTTAATATACACCCTGTTACAAGATACATTTCAACATTTAATGCTGTAAATAAACATGTAAAAACAATAAAACTTTCAGTAAATGTTTTTAAAGTGCGTAAATAAATACAAAATTGTAACGCTAACCTTAGCGTAGCGTGTAGGTGCAGAAGAGGAACACTTGCTGAAGAGACGGAGCCCCGTCTTCACTAGTGTTACGCCGAGTTGTCCGCACCTCGCGGGACTTTCAGATAATTTATCACCACACAAAGAATATTTTATCGTTTTTAAACAGCCAGCTCCTTGAAATAGACCCGCGAGGAACCGCGACTTGCATGTAGTTGTCCGCTGCACGACATGCACGCAAAACTCTGCACAAGACTGGTGAATGGCGAGAGAGAGAGAGAGAGAAAAGGGTCTTCAAAAAGCCTCAGTTTAGCTGGAAATTTACAATGTAAGTTGAATGAATAGAGACTGCAGCTCCACAGCTGCTCAAGATTAAAGCGGAGCTACCGTGTGTTTTCTACAGAAAATTCTGATGTCATAATAACTGTTAATCAACCATTTCCTGTGTCTGTGCTGTGGACCTCCTAGTTCTTCTCATAAATCAGTTGACAATCAAGCCAACAAATTAACTTTCTCTTCTGTTTTTCATTTTCTAATTAGTTTTGTTAACCTTAATCTGAACTAATTCTGCACATATGTTAGTTGTCATAATGACATTTCTTTCTATAATTAAAAAAAAACAATGTTTTTGCTTTGGGCAAAGTCAATATTGAGACAATGTGTTGCATTGCAGTGGTCTCTTAGTTAAAATTTAGTACATAAACATTAATGCTAACATAACCGTGCTGAGTTTTCCAGCATCTTGTAATTTTTTATCTTGGAAATCTTCTGTCTTCTTTATTTTTTTCGTCATTGTTGACCTTTCCCTAAATAAATCGGAAGCATGGAGCGGTAGTGAAACATTCAGCAGGTCCTTACAGCATACTGTAAAGTGAGGATTGTCTCTTCACTCCACTCTGTCTGTGCCTTCACAGGATCAGAGTCTGTGGCCTAAAGACACTGCCAGGACTCTGAATGATGAGTCTAAATAATTAATTATTTCTCATCAGCTGTGCTCTACCCTGCGGACAGAGCTATCAAAACATTCCCCACCCAGGATCCACTTGGGCTCCTTTGTATTCTCAGTGTTGTGAGCTGAGCTGCAAGGACAAAGTGCCCTTCTTTCACAGTATTTAACTGAGTGTCCATTTTTGTAACGGACCATTTTCACTCGGCTCTTCCAGAGGTACAAAGTGACCTCAGAGAGGTCAGTCAGTGAAACCAGCTCAAAATTGGTAGCTGAAAAATAGATTTGCAAAGATGGATTTGAAGCAGGCTTCTTCTTGCCAACACCCCTGACTTGACAAATGATGTGCATAAAGCAAGAGTTCATAACCCTTTGTGGCTAATGAGCTCATTGTTAGGTCCCAATATTTTCATTACATTCAGTGAGCGTGAGAATATTAGGAGATTGTCTTGCTATTATACCGATTTGAGCATGGCAAATTAAATTTTAGGGTCATGCCGGGGTGCAAGTTTGCGTAGTTTAAGTCCAAAAATCAGCGGGCGCCATCTTGATTATTGTGCAATACCTGGAAGCTGTGTCTGCCTTCTCTCGCCTTTTTCTGCCGTTCTCAAGCTACAGGCCTGTAAAGCATGGGTGTGCTTTTGTTGACAGGAATGTTGATGAATATTCACTGTTTTTAATGAAAATTTCACTGTTATGTTATTTGGAACGTGGTTGTATGGACATAAATAGTGTTTTAAAGATAACTCCCAATAAAAGTCAACATTTAAACAGTAAATATTGCCAAAATATGGACATTTGCCTGGTATATTTTGAAAATATTGTATGAGAACTGTTGTATTTTTGTTTATTTTCATCAAATTTACAGTTAAATGGATGAAAATATCCTCTTTTTTCTTTATTACATCTCCATTTAGTCTGTAATGGTAAAATAAATGTTAATTTATAATGGATTTATATTTCTTAGCTTCTGACCTTTTTAAAGGAGACCAGAATTATGCATCTAGGCCAAATGGTTGAGGAGTTATTCCTGATTCATTTTGGGTTTGTTATTTTAGGCGTTTTTTCCTGGAAATAGGGGCAAATAGCTGGCCGTTTCCAACAGGCTAAACTAGGTTTTTAAAAAATGGGGCAAACTCTCGGTTTTTCAGTACAAAACAGAGCAATGCATATTCTTTCAACCTTGGTTTTAAAAGTAAACCAAACCTGGCTCCACACATGATTACTGTAAATTCATAGCAATCTCAAATCAATACTCTTTTCTGAGAACAGTTTCACTAAATGTATCCGGTTGAAAATCTGTAATTTAAAAAGGAAAAAACTGAATGTTCATAC